GAACATCCCATCTCAACCTCATCCACAGCTACTCTTACTTAGTAGATTTGCATGTAAACCTGTAGCACTCACCTATGCGAAGAACAGAAGTCAGCCTTTACCTCGCCCCCTGCTCACTGCTCTGAGGAAGCCCTCCCCTGTCCTCGTGCATAGCCCTCATCTGTTGTAAACATTTCTCATTTAGGAAACCCGCACAGGAACCTTTTTAGTGTGTACACAGGAAGTACCTCAACGTCTAGCAAGTGTGGTAGCTTAGTATAGTCCCACCAGCACAGCACAAAACCCTGTAATATGTATAGGCTGATAAATTCACCTTGTCGTGATATGTGCCCCAGACCAAGTGGAATCACAGTTAATGTGTTAAATTGTCAGTGACTTTCATTAAACATTGGATGGTTCACTATGAACACTTGGAACATTTCTAACCTACTAGTATAGTCATCCTCATTTGACCTATAATATTGGAGTAAACTTTGTTCTTTAGGCTTTTGTCTGGTATTCTATTTTCTGAATCTTTTTGCTATACTTTGTTTTCTTAGTTTTTAGTTTGGTTTGGTTTAGTTTTCCACGCGTTACGTAGGCAGTCAAAAGTTTATTTTAGCTCAATTCTGGCAGCGAAGCAGAAAAAAGCTGTTTAAAATCTGTTAATTCTTGTGAAAGCCACACCTGCATGGAGTTTCGGTGACTTCTAGGAGGGGTAAAGAAAAAAAAACCTAAAACTTTGAGCAGCTGGTTAAGGTCCCTGTCTCTAGCTCACGTTGGTGTCAGCCCAACAGGACTTAATCGTGGTCCTAAAGAGCCCAGAGGTGGGGACGGGGTAGGGGACACCGGGATGGAAGATTGTGCTTGGAGGGAAAACGTTGTAAAGTAACTCTAATTGAAGACATGTAGGGCTCCAGATTGGCCTGCTGCCGTACTGCTCCATCTCAGTTGTGTGAGCCGCTCACGTTCTCAGTCGTGATGGCAGCAGCGTGTGAGATGGTGGGAAAGTAACAAGGTGGTGCTGGCAGCTGCCCGGAAACGAATCCCAGGGCTTGAGAATCACACTTCATATATTTGCTTATGATTTGGGGATTTTACTTATTTTCTGTTAAAGATTTTTTTTAAATATTGCTGGTTGTGATTTTTCTCTTTAAT